TTCATTATCTAACTGACGGACTAATTACATTTTTAATGTTCATACCCTGACAATTACCCTAAAGCAATCGGCGTCGCCCATGGACACCTGGAACACCATGGCGTTACAAGTGCGTTACCGGCCTTTTGGGAATTGGGAATTTGAAGATTGTGGAGGATTCAGGGATTGAGGAGACTGGGGAGGGGGGTAATTGGGCCTTCGGAAACCTCACTCACACGACGAAATACAACGCAAGCGTAGTTTCACGTCGGTTTTCTGTGAGGCTGTGCTATCACTCCGCTCCAGCCGGTCCATTCTTGCCGAAGCATGGCTCTCCCACACTTTATACACGAAGAAGAAGAATATAGATTTATATTTGCTTGCATCTACAAACTAAATATAAAAAACACAAGAATAGTCACGAAGAAAAATACAACTCTAGTTTTTGTTATCGATAGAGATTTTTCCGACGACAAAATGCCGACAAAAATCTCTGTAATACTTCGATGTAACGTTTATTATTTCGTACCCTATTAAATTCAGAAGAAAATCCTGCTTACTTTACTAACAATGCTTTCTTAGAAATGTATATTTTGTTCTTAGTTTCACTTATTGTATGTCTGTGTATTTTACAAGATGTATGATAATGTATATGTATATATACGTATATTATGAAGAAACAAATATTATGTAGAAATAATGATTATGTCAGGGTTACGAGTAACAAAATACAGTTGCTATGATTCAATTTCTAATAATATTTTTTATCTAATGCTTATACGTCACCTACTAATTTAAAAAAGAAATTGTTATCTAAATGGAGATTTCTTATTAACATGCTATTAACGAACAATTTTTCTACGGCTTGTATTATATTAAAATGATTAAAAATGCGCCGACTCTGTTTGACTAGGCTTTAAACTTTTAATTACTACCTTTACCTACAATGGCTCACCGGCTGAGTCATCACATTATGCAATCAAAATGTAAATTGCTATCCACAACAAGACATCCTGCTCGTACTAATTGTTTTGTAAACAATGTTCCTAAATTACCAACATTGTACTGTAATTATGACGTCACATGTAACCTCAGCGCTTTATCACGAAGAAGCCTTTTAATGTCCTGCCGGTGAATTCAGGACTTTACTTTCAGAGAAAATGGGTCATAATCTACTATGCTTTGATGTTAAAAGCCACTGCAGAAAAGGAAAAGTTTTCAAGGTAGTTTTTTGGCCGACGCCGACGTAATCCTACTACGTACTATAATAAACCCAAAAGTTTGAGAGGATTTTTGTTGTGACAGAACTACTTAACGGATTTAGGTGAAATTCTGGTTACGGATAGACTGTTTCTGTTTACTGATACAGAGGTAATATTAAATTATTTTTCAATACCATATGTGCTTTATTCTTTTTTTATGGCATAAGCTGGTAAACGAGCAGATGGATCACCTGATGTCGCTCATGGACACCTGGAACACCAGAGGTGTTACACGTTATCGGCCTATTGGGGATTAGGAGTTTGAGGATCGTTGGGGATTTGGGGATTGAGGAGATTGGGAAAGGGGAGGGTAATTGGGCCTCCGGTAACCTCACTCACACGACGAAACACAACGCAGGCGTTGCTTCACGTCGGTTTTCTGTGAGACCGTGGTAATACGCCGGTCGAGCCGGTCCATTCGTGCCGAAGCATGGCTCTCCCACACTTAAAAAACTTATTCGAAAAGCACGTTCCAGAATACATATCGAAAAAAAAACACGGATTAATTCTTTAATTCGACAAACGAGATAATAGAACTTTTTCGACTTTACACAAAAACATTAATAATTTAACACGTTGAACAGAACCAACATAACAATAACCAATGTTTACGACCACATCATTGCAAATATAATATCATGTACCCATCAAATTCGCCCGCAAAAAATCAATAACATCCACAAAGCACATAAAATATTTTATTGTCCAAGCAAATGCCGTGTAAAAATGTATTGTACCATGTAACGGTGTAACAGGAACATTTTCGTACGGCGTAAAAAAGGTCGTCATTTTTCATTAAAATAAATGGCTTCCCTTATCTAAAACATTTCCTCGAAGTTTCTGCCACGCAGTACGCAGGCTACGTTTTCAATAAAGTAGGTAATTACTTAGGTACACAGTGTCTCTCACAAAAGGCTATATTTAGGACGGTACGCCTAATTTTGAGACGGTTTGGGCTCTGACTTCTCATGGTTAACTAAACCTTTATTTCCACTTTATTATGCGGAAAGCCTGAGATAATAAAACGAATTGCTTAGATGAGGTGCTGTTTTTTTCTGGGCCTGTTGTGTTGTGTGTGTGTATTCATGTGTGTTCTCTTTGTAAGTAGACGTTGAGATAGGCACAATTAAATTGAATACTTTTTTACCGACTTCAAAAAAAGGAGGAGGTACTATGTTCGGCTGATTGTTTTTTTTAACGATATTCTACACTTTACTTCTGTATCATTTGTGCGTTTACAACCATTACACATAAACCTGGATCTACATAAGAACTGTTCCGTATAAAGAATCAAACCCACGACACAGCCCGCCTAACCACTTTGCCAATTGTAAAAACACCACTCAAATTTTTTGTGATATATAATATCCACGTTCAATATAAACACCATAGAAAAGATACGCCGTTGCTGTGTATACCTAAAACAGTATCAAATGATCCCAAAATTCAGTGGAAAACGTTCGTATATAAAACCAATGGATCAACAAAGCAGTCAACTAAATGACCTAAGTAGACAAAAATATTTTTTGTACTAAAATTCAACAAAAAGTGGTGAGCTGATAGTTGATTGAGGTCATGATCATTAATTTTCTTTAAGAACATCTTCTGTCTTAGTAAAACAACACGATCTTAGGAACTGTGTTTTTCGGAAAAACGAAAAGTTACTTTTTCGAACAAAAAATGGCAATTATAAGACTATCTTTTTAACTTTATTAGCTCACTATAAATCGTCTAGACTTTCAAGCGACTTCAAATAAAAGAAGGAACTTGTCAATTTGACTGTATTTTCTATTCCTATCTAGTGTAGTGTATTAGTATCAGATGGATTAATATAATTCATAAAATATATTTTCCAGTTATAACTGAATCTGTTCACACTACTGCCTTGTTGGCCGACTGTCTGGCAAGGGGTTTGGGATTCAATTTCCGAGTCGGGCAAACAATTACTGGGTTTTTAAAAAAAATATATTAGTAGCATAGAGTCTGGAATTGTGCCCGCAATAGGCTCACCCTCTATTACCTGGGACCCATAAATAAATAGTTAAAAATGTTACAATGTTGTGGCATAAGCGCCGTACTGTGCACAACTACCTAACACTTCGGGGATAAAAGGCGTGATGTTATTCTGTTCACACAACACAACATCACATTACATTCAAGTGCTACATAAACCTATAACATGACAATTGAAATAAAGATATTTTACTGAACAAAAACAACCCTACAAATATACAGGTGTTAAAATGAACAACGTCAGAATTTTAATTAGATTCCAGATTTGACAATAGCTACTGTCATTTTGTGAAATAATGATACCACATATAATAGTGTAGTGATGTACACAAAAATCGATAAACAATCAGTGTGTGTGTTTTATAATAAATGTTACAGAAAATGACAGGATAGCGATAGCGATGACGGCGACAATTTATAAAATAACTTATTACCATAATACATCTATCTGTTTTATTTGTCATATTCCTTCATGATTACATTTTTTTATTTATTTCACACACAATTATAAAAGAAACGTCTCAGATCGTTAATTAATCGTCAAAACTAAATTATCGGTTCAGAAATATTTAATTTCCTGATAAACTTAGTTCACGAGAGTAAAATTATAATTATTATAAACGAGAAGAATCGATCCAGAAATATTTCATTTCCATATCGAATAATTTTGCAACGTCACTATTTAGTACTTGTCATAACGTTGCCACACTGAAATTGTCAAATCTGGAATCGAATTAAAATTCCGAGTATAGAATATGGGGGATGTGACAAAATCGTCATAGAAAGGAAACGTCAACTGTTTGTCGTAGTACTGCAGTTAAATGTAGAATTATCCGAATAAAACTGGATAGAGCTTCAGTGCTTTGGTGTTGAACGTAAAGCCTGCAGGACTAATCCTAGACAAGGTGCTAATCTGCATCCGCGCTGTACATTCCAAGTTTAGCTCTGTGCCCATTCAATGCGGACGGAATTAGAATAGCTGCTGGCTTTCGTACTAATTCTAGCGTATATTAGGTACGTGTTGTTTTAAAACGGACGTGAAAATAGACTGTTGCTTGATTTGATCGATGTTATTAGCTACATATTTAGGTTATACTTAATATCACATACACTATAGCAAAATATGCAACATATCCACGCTTTTAACATCCTTATGATTTGTTTTTATAATAACTATCGCGAGACAAATTAAATTAACTAAAAATCATACTCCCGTGAATATACTAACAAAGCTCTACTAGTTTCGATCCACCGAGGGGTTCTTCCGCATGAGCAGCGTGCACGGTCGCGGTGATGTCGTGCAGCCTACCACCAGCGACACTACTAGAGCTTTTCTCAAATATTCACGTGAGAAACCCGCGATTTTTAGTTAATCCTTACGATTAATTTTTACTTCGTATTGATATTCAATGCGTTGGTTTTTTTGTATGATAGTATTCCTAATTTTTATATTTTTTTGCATAAATTTAAGATTGATCTCTGACATGAACCAAAAAACATAAAATTAAAATAAATGAAGAAATAATAAAAACATATGAAAGTGACTGCACGGTTGGCGCGGTGGTTGGGCAACTGTCTGCCGCGCAACGTGTCGCGGGTTCGATTCCCGCACGGAACAACTGTTTGTGTAATCAACAGATTGTTGTTCTGGGTCTAGGTGTCATGTGTATGTTTGTAACCGCACCCACGATACAGGAGATAATCCTAGCGTAGGGCAAAGTTTCTAAAAATAAAATAAAAACATACCGCTCGATCACCAAGGTTCTTCACACGGCAATGTAGGTACGCGGGCTGTCCAACTGCCGCAGTATAATCTCGTTTGGTTGCATTGTCGAAGTAGGGCTGGGCGACGCTCTCGGTGGTAGATGTGGCGTTCAACGCGAAGTCTATCGTGCTGGTCGTGATCTCTTCGCTGGTGTCACCGCCGCCGCCCGCTGAAATACCTGGGAATAAGGGAAAGGTTTTATGAGTTTATAATATTAATAGTACACAAGTATTATTCAATTAATTGTAAAATATTAAATGTGGAAGACCTATGTTTTGGTACAAACGACCAAGGAGTTATGACGACTTCGCAAAACGATGCTCAGCCTATGCAAAACACACCGACACAGTATGCTCCACGGGTACTCCGGGCGGTCCTTGTAGTGACACCCAAGCAAATTGAAAGACTAAGAATTACTAAAGACATATTTATAAATAAAAATGCATAAAATAAAACATTGCTTTCTTCCTTGTTCAAACATTAACTCGTTAAATTCAGTTCAACATTATAAAACAGAACTCAGTAGAAATAAAACAGAGATAAATAATTTATTAAAGTGTCCGTTTCAAGTGAATGTACTTAGTAACATCTGCCATTTTGCTGTGGTACAGTAAGATAGTTAATTTCGCTTTATCGCTCCCGAGATCCATGGGGTGCAATTCGACCGGCACTTCATTTACATAAAACGACGTTTTTATACTAAAAGACATCACTAACCGACGCTTACAACATTTCTAAGAACATTGGATTAAAAATTATTGTGGTTGTTTACTGCATAATAGATTGTTTAACGTAGAATATAGAGCCCATTTTGATTTGACGCTAAGATACGAGGCAAAGTAGTCTTTAAATTTTTTGTAATCTTGTTTCCTTGGTCTTAGGGAAATGTATGAAAATTGCACGCTGTGACAGTTATGATATTATGGAAATAAATTGTTAGACGTTTCAGGAGACTAATGTAATGAGTAGGTACCTGGCATTCTAGAGGGAGATCCCAGAGCCGCCAGACGTCACTCATTTTCTGATGGACAAAATATATACGAGTGAGTAGTGGTGGGGTGTACTATGATCATATGACTAGTTGCTAACTTGGCCAGACGACCAATTTTCAGGTAGCAAAAAATGAGTGACATCTGGCGGCTCTGGGATCTTGGACCATTCTAAATATGGTTCAAAAAGCGTTTTAGTTTACATATAAAACTGTATACCTAGCCAGCAAAAATACCTACTTGATGATCCGAATGCTCATTTGCCTCTAATTTCATAAGAAAAACTTATCATTATTTTTGCCCACAGGATATAATATGGACGTTGATTAAATGACTTACGTAAAATAAAAGTAAAGTTTATCTATATGCTAAAAAGTATCTTCGATTTGTTTAATGCTTGTTATTTTAATACTCATACGAAATACGATACATAAACAATAGAAACTATAGACGATACTATAACGAATCAGCTTCGGTGTATCGGTCAGACGGCTTTGTGTGGTTGACTTGAACAAGATTATCTTGTCTCAGACACAGGCCGAAGGGTATCGTATTGACGTACCTAGGTACGTACCAACATTAAAATCACTTATACTGACATGTTGAAAATGAATATTGGCTATATTGTAGATAGTTAGACTATATCTTTGTTCATTTTGTTGGTATTTAGTAATGTTGCTTTTTAATCTTTTGTTTTATAACGATTAGATGTGTTTTAAGAATTGTTCATAGAAATTTTATACACATAACATCACGCCCTTTGTCCCTGAAGGGGTAGGCAGAGGTGCACATTACAGCACTAAATGTCACTGTACAATGTAACACCTGAGTCCTATATTACTCGGCAGTCGCACTTACGACCACTAGGCGAACTAGTCAGATTTTTTCATATTTTCTACTAGGTATTATGTAAATGACATTAACCATTCTCGAGATATGCATTTAGTAATGTATTAATCTATAAATATTTGTTTACACAAAGATTTTTTCATAGATGTAACATTTGGTTCTAACCAAACAATAATATTTTATCTAAGATTTAATATCCAAATACTAATTGCGTCTATTCTAATTGAAACTTTCTGAACTTAAATTAATTAAACGTTTGACTTTATAAAACTTTTTAGTAATATTAAAATAAATATTTATTTACACTTAAACTTATTGCATCAAGTTAATTAATAGGTAAAGTGTTTTTGTGAACTATAAAATGTAACTTCGTATCGATAAAATAAATATTGCATGAAGGTTCAAAAGGCACCCAGCCTTTTAGCTGCGTTTAATGAAACCTTTTTAAAGTTGCACATTTTTAATGAGCCCTGTAATCGACTTATGAATACAGATCACCTTAAAATAAACTCTTTAATATTCACATGTTTTATATGGTTTAACACCAGTATATAAATTAATAGCCATCATTATCATGTTACCTCGTGAATAAGGGAATAACTACTTTAATCTTCACTCTTGACAGTCGGTTTTTTTTGAGGAGGAATCACCATCATCCAATGTCTTTTCCCGTCTTAAGTAAGGCGAAAAGGAGTGTCTGATTCTTACTGACTAAAAAAACCACCCCGTTCCTACTTTTGCTCTTTAAGCCGGAGCCCTGGTAACCTGTTAAGACCGCCGCGGTTTCATATCGGGCATCATCCCTACTGGGCCCCATCTGTGGTGGTTTGATAGCTCTTTGAGGCGCCGTTCCGCGCGGAACGGAGTTGAAAGCTTAGACCACAGAAATTTGGTGCTAGCGCACGGGAGGTCGCACCAGGCGGCGGCCGACTTAATGGCGACAGCGGTTGCGACAGTCGTTGAAAAAATCCGGCAGTTGGGACTCGAGGTGGCGCTCCACAAGTCCGAGGCCATGTGTTTTCATGGCCGCGGGAACGCGCCACCTCCGGGTGGGTCCCAAATAATGGCGGGAGGGGTTACCATCGGCGTCGAGACGACGATGAAGTACCTGGGACTCGTCCTCGACAGTCGGTGGAACTTCGTGGAGCACTTCCGACGTTTGGCTCCAAAGTTGGCGAGGGCGGGGGCTGCGTTTAAGCGCATCCTCCCCAACCTCGGGGGGCCAAACGCCTCCTGCCGGAGGTTATACGCCGGGGTCGTGCGGTCCATGGCCCTCTACGGCGCCCCTGTTTGGGCGCCGAACTTGATGCGGCGTCCTGCTCGGACGCTGCTCATGTCACAGAGGGTCATGGCGATCCGAATGATCCGCGGATACCGCACGATCTCCGGGGAGTCGGCGAACCTCCTTGCCGGATCACCGCCGTGGGATCTGGAGGCGAAGGTGCTCGCGCGCGTGTATCGACGTGCAGGAGAAGGAACGGGGTGGTTTTTAGTCAGTAAGAGTCTGACACTCCCTTCCGCCTCACCCAGGCGGGAGCAGTCATTCGATGATTTTCCCCCCTTAAAAAAAAAAAAAAAAAAAGACCACAGAAATTAAAAAAAAACTACCTAAACCGCATTCAGTCAATGTTGTTACCATCATTCTTAAGTAGGTATGTACCTTCTTTGAGAAAACATAAATTTTAAAATTGATAATATTTTGGTCATAAAACTTTGTTTAAATAAGACTTTCATTGATAACATTGACCCTTAGTAGATAAAAAAGACGTCACGATCTATTGCCAATATTTATTTTTATTTAAAAGCATAGACAAGTAAAAACAAGAGTATTCAACTTTAAAAAAAATCTGTAAAATATATGAATGAGAAACATATTTTTTTTATCTTGACTTATAAGTTTCTATTCTATCATCAATATTAGATAATATGAATCTAATACAATATAGAAGAGTCAAAGAAACGAGGATCCAAAGGCATGTCAGTCGTCATAACAGTACCCAAATGTTTATAAACACCTAAATAAACCCACATCTGAAGAACCCATGTCATAGAATTGTGGCGAAACAATACCTTTCTTATATCAACAAAAATACTATACTGATTGAAATTGACAACGGTTCGCGTAAATATAAAATTCATATAACTTTAGATTTGTTTTTCAAGATGTCATAAAGAAAAATATTAAGCAAAAATGTCATTTGAATGACTTATGCCCGAATACTGAACGCCACTCAAAGTCGCACTTAGGTATAGTTTAGTCACTAAAAACTCTTTGGTACTTAAATGACAGAGATGGCACGATAACTAAGTACCTTATACTTAAAATTGAGTAAGTTCATCATCATCATCAACAGCCTATAAATGCCCACTACTGAACAAAGCCTCTTCTCACACGGAGAAAATTTGAGCATTAATCACCACGCTTGCTCAATGTGGGTTGGCAATTATAAACTTATAATCAGAAATTATAAGCCCAGGTTTCCTCAGGATGTTTTCCTTCATCGTTTGTCAGTAGTGTCTAGATAATCTTAGAAAGTATATACAACTCGGACAAACTCACCCTCATGCATGAGAAGCGGGCATCTAAAACCTCCAGGCCACCACGACACAAAAAAAACATATAAATTAGAGAGAGATTCAATGGACATTCAAATACAATTCAGTAATAACAAACAACATAGGCGAGCAACCTAATTATACGAATGCAATTGTAAATTAACAACAAACAACAAACGTCCCTGGATAATGAAATTCGGTCGTGGTATTAGGGATTTCAATATCGTTGAATTCCTGCCAAAGTTCAAATATTTAACTTGTTTCATAATAGCAGTATTGTGGATTTAGTATTCAGTTTGATGGCAGCTTTACGCCTTTGGTATGCATCAGATGGAAATAGTACCTGGCGAGTTGGCTGGCCTGTAGACTGCGGCGCAACGTGTAGCGGGATTTGATTCCCACTCGGAGCAACTCTTTGTGTGATACAGATTGTTGTCAGAGAAAACCCGAGATACAACGCTAGAGGACAACGCTTAAAAAAACAAAACACTTTCACATATTCTTTGCGTACTCTATTGGTCTACATACGCATTGAAAAATCGAGGTCAATTTTGAAAATGATATTCAATTTTTACATCAAACTTTGGTAATGGACTTTTAAAGGGACCTTTGAAATTATAATAAATGTTAATTTTATTTATTGAAAACCAATTTTAGAAAATTGAATAAATGTAAATAGTCGTATGTAATTTCATAGAATTTAGAACAAACAATGTTAAAAAAGCTGAGTTACATAACATAACAACACGCCTTGTATCCCCGATGGGGAAAGCAGAGGTGCACA